AATGAAATTGTGATACTATTTGTCGTTCCGTCGGTAAAACGGAAGAAAGTTTAATTAAAACATAAGAAAGTGTTATGTGCTGAGAGACATTGAAATGAGAAGGGTTAATACCATAAGTCCGTGGGAAGAATTGAAGATTTAATTCACACATAAACGACTTGAATTGTTTTCAGTTCTGCCCCCTTACAAAAATCAACCAAATTAGCCAGGTTTTTTAGGGACTGCTTGTTCTAACTATGTATATTGCAGCACACCCTCGCAGGAATGGATAGATAAATAGATAAGTACAAATTTTTGATAGATAGATAGATAGATAGATAGATAGATACGAACAGGCTGAGATAAATCTACCACCATCTATTCGCATATATTCTTGTATAGATAAATGTGTTTAAATGTGTATACGGTCCATCTGAAGTTATTAAGCAAATCGCATAGACCTCAATAACTCCATTTTGCATTGAAGATGGTTTGTTAAATTCAATATGATTAATTTAGGCGTCAAAAGAAAAATTCCAGGTAGTTTCAGCATGTTTTATTTGTCATACTATTTGTCGTTGCCGCGGTAAAATCTAAGAAAGTTTTGTTAAAACATAAGAAAGTGTTATGTACTGAGAGACATTGAAGCGTGAAGGCCATATTGTGTATCCAAATGCAAATTTAAAAAAGAACTTTTTAACTTAAATATTTGGAGTTTCAGAGTACCATCATCCTCATGCTCGTGTGTTGTTACATCAACTTAAACATCGCTTTGGCCAGATGGGGTTCAGGTTCTGGGGAGGCCATCAGGTAGAGATTGTTTCCACTTTGCCATTGAAGTTCCTAACATTGTTCTAATATATATATATATATATATATATATATATATATATATATATATATATATATATATATAATAAAAGGTTTAAACACTAATATTCCATGGTCATAATTTATTCCATTGGAATCGTAAATACGATCAATTCATCAGCCCTACAGCTTTTTGAATTTGTAGGTCTGATGAATTGATCATATTCAATATGGAATAAATTATGAAATGTAGTGTTAACCATTTATTATATCCTACTCTGTCCGGGACATTGAGTTCTACCTGGATTCTATCCTCTTGAATTTTTATTCAAAAATATACATGTATGTGTATGCACCTATGTATATATATTTATATATTTTGTATATGTATGTGTATATTTACCACTAATTCTATCTATCTATCTATCTATCTATCTATCTATCTATCTATCTATATAATTTTTATACCGAATAAAAATACAACACAAGGTAATATATACCATATAAGTTTATATTATGCATCATGATTTTTTTTTTCAAATATATACCAACCGACATTCTATATTTTAAAATTATGCACCATAATTATACTGCATTGAACTTTGAATCTGCATATATTATAGCGTTCCTCTTATGAGACCAAGAATTTAAAAAACTCTTTTAAATAGATCATTTACTATTTGTGTCTGATGAAGTGGATAACCATGAAACTCTGAGTTGCACTCCAAACCTAGTTATATGTATATTTATTAATATATATATTTTATAGTACAAAAAGAACAGTAAGATATGTAATCTGGTGTTCTTTTTGATATTTTTATTTTTACAAAACAGTGCTCAATGTAAATTTACAGAGCATAAGTATTATAAATTAACTGATTTAAAAATATGGTTTCATCGCTACACAGGAATTACCATGTTTCAAAAACAGAAAACAAAAACTTCAAATTCAGTTATATTAAATTAAAAGCATTAGTTATGTTTCACTTTCAAGTGAATTTTGGAATACCTTATTTTAAAATTTACTGAGTTTTAAAAGCCCATACATTCATAATTTTTGTTTCCAAAGATACGGAGAAATCCAACTATTTAGACAGGGGCGGTAGCGCGTTCTTTTTATTTTATTAAATATTATTGAATCAAATATGACTTTTACGTTCGAAAATGGGTTAAGTCTGGTAGGGTAGGGGTGCCTTTCAACGAATTATGACATCAGTTCAACGCATGTCGTTTGGTTTTCTATCAACGACAAAAAGTTTTTCTGCATTTTATTCGTTAAATTTCTACTTAAAACATTTAATTTAATATAATTGAATTTGAAGTTTTTGTTTTCTGTTTTTTAATCAGGGTAATTCCTGTGTAGCGATGAAACCATATTTTTAAATCAGTTAATTTATAATATATTTATTAATATATACTTTATAGATTTGTTTAATTACAGTGAACACTGTTTTGTTTACATCTTAAATTAAAAAAAATTTATTTGATCATCTGTATATGTTATCACAGGCATATATCTTTGCTAATATTTAGTTCAAGTTCATACTTCACTCTTTCTCATACTTACCCGGCAGAGGGATCCATCGCTGTTCTGGTGGTATCAACCGGCTCTGACAAGCTATGACAAGACAAAACCAGCTATGACTAGCTTAAACCAGCTCTGACCAGCTTAGACCAGCGGCCTGAGTGAAAACACTCGGGTCCCCACGTTAAAAATGACCTTGTGTCAAAACCTGGTGGTGTGGGGTAAAATAAATATCTACTTCTCTCTCTCTCTCTCTCTCTCTCTCTCTCTATATATATATATATATATATATATATATATATATATATATATATATATCTATTCATAGAAAAATTTCCTGTTCATAGAAATCAACATAGATTTATTTATTCTTTAATGTCTTTTATCTTTTGGTGTGACAACACGGACACTTATAGGCGTAGACAGGCTTAGCATTATATGTTGGCATTTGTCTTATGACTTGTGGAGCCTGGATCTCGTCAGATCATGATCGACAAATATGGAGTCTGTCCAGAAAATACGCAGCTATTTTAAGATATAGAAAACTGGCTGCAGGTGCATTGTGTTGCTTGACAAACAATTAGATTCAATCTGACTGAGCATGCGCAAACAGAAACATTCCAGCAAAGTTATCCATGTCTCCTGCAGTGCAGCAAATTAAATGGACTTGACCTACTCAATGCCAGGTGTATATAAGATATGATGTATTTTTCTGCTTTCTATCAGGTCCGGGGATACCTTGAGGTGTTGTAATGATTAGCCAGCTTGTCTCGCTTGAACATTTACGACTGAATAGTGACATCGATCCTCATAGGTTGCCCCTCTACATTCGGCCTTGTGCCGTATCTAAGCTACGCTTGGAAAATCTCTATCGGGTCTGGTCGTCTATATCTTTCCATCTACAGTTTGAACAAAGGAATGGAATATTCAAAAAGACATATTTCAGATCCTTCCGTCGTTTTGTGTCTTGTAGTTTTCTTGGTTTTTGTCGTTCCATCTTTGAAATATTTTTCTTTCTCGATTATGGGCGTTCCCTCTTGAGATTTTAGGCATCTTATTCAAGAGCACATGTTTGTGCCGTTTTTTTTTTTTCTTTTATTCTTTTATGCAGGGCGTCAGTAATTATGTTGCTTAGTGTATTCCTCTGTGCTGGCTTTTCGTTAAGTCATTGATATCTTGGCTGCCGACATTTGTTCCAAATGTTCGTGTTTAATATTCTGTACCGTTCCTTGGCATTGTTTACTGTCAGTTTTTCACCATTTGGAAAATTTAATCTCCCATCCATTCCTTTTTATGTCTCTGTTTCCTTCGGGTGATCTCATTCAAAGATATCACCAGTGATTCCCTTAAGGTGTTACACTTTGAATTTTCTGTCCTATCCAAATCGTTATGTTTTCTCTGTTAGCATATATCTCTTTGCGGGTTGAGTCATTTGGTGTTTGTCGGTAGAAGTTTCGGTGTTGCTTTGGTTTACCTTTCTTTTTTTAAATCATTTCAGTACAAGCAAGGCGGGAATATGCCACTAGTACACATGGGCTTAGAAAGAGTGAAGGTGAGAGAAAAGACGGAATAGGGGGTGGGGTAAAGAAAGGATAAAGGCTGAATGGGTTTCAAGAAGATAGAAGATGGCGATTGACGTTTCATTTAAAGTTTTGAAGATTTAGTTTTAAGGGAAGCAAGTAAACGTAAGGGAGTTCCACAGGCGGGAAGTGCGAGAAAAGAAACTGTTGGAGTAGAAGTGGCGGTTACATTTACCTAATTCAACAGTAAAAATAGTTTAATCTCAGTTTGCATATGAATGGAAGCTGATCGCTTTCAAAGTCAACACTTGGATAGGTTTTAGAGTGTAAATCTTGAATCTTTTATTGATTGTTATGTAGTCTATCTGGTTCTTTCTGTTTTCTCCTGGGCTGTTTTTTGTCCACACGCTCTTGGATCTAGGTGTTGGTTATTATTTGTGTGCCATTTTCTTTTCTCTGCACTCCTTACGAAATCATAACGTGCACTTTCCAGACATTTCACTGTCTCGCTTATTTCCTACATTAACCTCTCCAAAGATGATGAAAGTAGTCAGTCAGTTATGTGCCATGCGTGATACACGCTTAGGCGATCATGTATCTTTCGATGCATGACTGACGAGGCAGATTTTTTTCTCGCAGTGGGTTGCCATTTCTTTCTGCGGTAGACTAGTTTCCATCCAAGGCTATAGATCCTGGTCTGCCTTGCTATTTACCAATAACTGGGGGAAAAGAAGAAGATTCATACCTTTCCCAAGGGTACTAGCAAAGTGAATGTAATACATTGGACAGGAATTCAAACTCGGCTCTCCGATTCCTCAGTCCGAGCCGCTATCCATTACTCCACCGTTTCCAAATACGGCCATTATCACTACTCAGATTGGTAACTGCCTGGGAATATCAGGTGCTGTACACTTGGATGTGTAGGTGGTGTCATGGACGACGGCTTGGAATTAGAGATCAGAGAGCCGATTTCTAACTCTAATAGGATTAGTCGTATTCACTTACGAGGAAATGCACTTGGGAATGGTATGAATATACCTCTTCTCCCCCACCTATGGATTAATTAGCATGACTTAAATCATTATTATCTCCAAAAAAGTTTTACAATCTGGCTTTAAATAACCTGCGAAGTTAGTCCAAATACGGCCAACCTTACGGGCACATTACGTTGAAACATAGGTTCCCGTACGATCCCCGAAGTTAAGCAACTTTGAGCCAGGGCAGTATCTTGATGGGTGACCGTTCGGGAATTCCAGGTGTTGTAACCTTGGATTTGTGGGTGGTGTAATGGATAATGACTGGGTATTGTTAATTGGAGACTCAAGTTCCATTTTCAGTTGGGTTCGTTACATATATTTATGCGCAAGCATCTTTGGTAAAGGTAGGTATCCACTTCTTCTCCCCCCCAGCTATGGATTAATTATTAAACTTGTATAACTAAATCTTTAATATTAAAATGAAATCCTTAAAATCTAAAAATATTTTCTGCCTTTAAATAACAGGGTTGCTAAGCCGTAGAAAAAAGAATCAATCAATCAATTAAATTGATACTGCAATTATTTTTCAAGTTCATCTTTTTTTCGTAAACATTAGCTTGTAAAACATCAATATAATTTTGCTGGAAAAATCTATGGAAAATAAGTTCAAACGAACAGCAATCAAATTGTGCATTTAAATTTCAAACAAGAATGTTTATAGTAGAATAATGTGTCTGAAATATATTTAGTTTATGGTCAGTTAAAAATATATCAGGAAACGATTATGATCTCCAAAAATAAAAATGCGTACCAAATATTTATATTTCGGTATAATTATGTCTCATCCATTGTCCAGTATGAAGGATCTTTTTGCATGGCGCCATTTCAGTTCAATTCCACAAATTTGATTGTCCTAGGTATGACGATAAACTACATCCAGCAGGAAGATTGGAGGTTTTGAGGAACGTGGAACCACTTCTTAATTGCTGTTGTTCCTCATCAGGAGTGGCAGCACCTTTTATGATCCAAATCATCATCTGGAAAAGTAGAGACAAATAGTGAGTGTTTGTAGAACTAGTGAGTTTTGTGTAGTGACAGAAGTTTATAATAAGGCTTTTTTTTCACTCACTTCACTCCGACTAAGCCAATAAAACTACTAAGACAAAATTGGTAAGTGAGGGTGAAAGAATAAAAGCAAAAGAATGCCATTATTAAGCAGAGAGAATATTGTATAAGAGTAAATGTTGTTGCCGACACTGTGGTTTGAAACTAGATCGCCAGTGAGTAAGACGTCCCAGGCATGGAAAAACAGAATCCCACAACCAAAAAAAAAAAATAATAAAAAAAAAATAAATAAAATAAAATAAAAAATAAATAAATAAATAAAACACTAGGAAAGTATAAAAATACATTTTTATATTAAAAATACCAGTGATAGATTTTTATATAAAATAACATTACCAGTAATACATATTTAGAGTAAAATTACCAACAATATATTTTATTTGAAGCCATAAAATTGCTCATAATATTTAGATTCCGGGAATAGTGGCATATCAACAAAATAGGGATTTATATGCAGCTAAGCAAAACCAGCCAATCAAATACGGATAGTGTATTGTGTTTGCAATCATATGTGATGCTATTAAGGTTTCATTTGCATTTTCAGCAAATTATAAATTGTTTACAATAGCATTTATAGACAATTCATGATAGTAGTATAACAAAAAAAAATTCTTTGAAATGGGCTGATAGATTAGCCGAAAGCGCTAATCCATCAGCCCATTTTGGACTATTTTTTTTTTATATGCAATATATCCAGAAAAGAAAACATTTGGTCGCATACAAGAAAAACAAAACAAACAAAAAAACTTGTTAGTTATGTTCAGCGAAATATGTGTTTATGTGTGTGCATACACAGGTGACTACATCAAAAAATAGACAAAAAACAAAACAAAAATAACTGTGCAGCCATTGACGATAATGACTGAAGCCACAGATGGCTTCCCCGTGGAAGCATCATTACCATTAACACATGGAAAACCAAGCAGTCACGTATGATAACACAATTCTTTTCCCTTCACACTGTGGGAGAGCCAGATAGAAATATAGCTTCATCATATATTCTTGTGTTTACAGCTTTCTAGTCAGTGTTCATGCGCCCAGAAATGAAACGTTAATTCAAACATGTGATATTTAAATTAACCGAACCCATAACTATGTCAACATGCGCTGCGGAAAAAAAGAAAGAAAAGATTTTACATACAACGGGGTGCTGAAAAGTTGCCGACGCGAAAATAGGAATTAATTTATACAAATTTTGTTAAATTCAGCTGGCAAGGTCTGGCTTTTTTTTTTTTTTGTATTTTATTCAAACTCCCTCGTAGTACACAGAAACAAAATTGGACATAACTTTGATTTTATAAAGACCACCTTAATTAAAAAAGAACATAATTATTTACGTCGAAAGTACTTCGAGGGCCTACTAATAACAATATTGCAAACTATAAACACAAGTTAAAAACATTACATCACCCAACATTATTGAATTCATTCTTAATGAATTTAACGTATGCTTATCTAAAGTAAACGGTATGTACATAAAAAAAATTCTAAACACGTGAAAAACCACCAAACATAATGTCTACTAGAAACATATATATATACACACACACACACACACATACGAATATACATTATAATCTGAATCCCACATAGTCATACTAGAATTATATTAACTGGTGCACTATATATAATATTATAAAGTTGTAATCACGCAAAGAATTAATCAGTAAAGTTAATGTAATTAATTGCGAAATCACTTCGCTAACAGATTTAATACAGCATTAACTTGCTAACCCCTCGTTGAATGACGCGATCCTTATATTAAAAAAAATTGTAAGATAGATTAGATGTTCCGTTGCTAGTACTTTCGTAAACGTTGACGTTTATTTATTAACGGTACAATTTTAATAAATAGCACATTCTTAAAAAAAATCTTTCAGTCTGCAATACATTTATTTTTGTCTTGGAAATTTACCTGAAATGAAAAAAATTATTAATGCCTGACGATGAAAACGTGAATGGTTTCGAAAGTACTAGCAATGGAACATCTAATCCATCTTATAATTTTAAACATAAGGATCGCGTCATTCAACGAGTGGTTAGTAAGTTAATGCTTTATTAAATCTGTTAGCGAAGTGATTTCGCCATTGATTACATTAACTTTACTGATTAATTCTTTGTATAATTACTTCTTTATAAACTAAATTATTATACACTTACATACATAAAGGAATATTTACGGTTTTCCAGGTATGCATTCAGAACTCCATAAATTATACTAATGCTTATTTAACAACTCGATTGCACATGAAACATGATTAAGGAATGAAAATCAAACAACACAAAAGTAAAAATATCAGAGTTTCTTTCTTCTTTTTCTTCTTATCTCATACTCTGATGAAGCTCTAATAAAAGTGAAACATGGGTTTGCAGATGATATGTGCATTTTCACCTAAAGTAATCTTTTATAGCTCTGATATTCTGATGTGTCCAGTAATTTTACTCAGATGATTTTCGGTAGCAATCTTTATCATACCCAGTGTCCCTATCACAAACGAGAGAATCGATGTTTTAAGTTTCCACATTTTTGTTCGATTTGCAGGTCCTGATAATTTAACAGACAGTGTTTTTCTTTCTTTTTTTTTCTCTTTTTAGGAACGTTGGTATTCTGTGAGCAAGTCATATCAATCAGTTGGCAGATTCCTGTTTTGAAATTCTTTAAGACTCTCTGGACTATTTGAATGAATTTTCCTGTCTGTGACGATTGGGAAGTTCCACAGTAGAGTCAGTCGTCACTATTTGTGACTTCGTTCCGGTGGTGTTTGTACTACGTATCCCGGATTTCAATACCATAGTTCGAACAGACATGACAATGAATATATTGACATGGCCTGTCATGTCTAATGTATTTTTTCTCAGCAAGAACTGGGCACCCTGATACTATGTGGTCAACAGTTTCATCAAATTTATGATCTGTCACAAGAGGGATTTGAGCTATCTTTGTTGAGTTTAGCCTTGTAGGAATTAATTAGAAGACAATGATTTTTGTGCGGCCATAATAAGGCTTTCTGTCATCCTTTAAAATCTCTGCTTCTAAGCCATAGATAGGTTTAGCGAGCATTCGATGTCTGGTTTATCCAGATGCATTTGGTACTTTCCATACTGTTATGGGATCGTACCATAATAATAATAATGGACTATTCAATACTTAATAAATACTGCGCCTCAGGAGTAAGCAGGGAGTCAGTCGTTCACCTCTGAACTGACTGTTCGGTTCAACTCTCTTCCTACGGGCGAGAGGAACCCGAAGGAGGCTACGCCGAAGGGCGGAGTCTCCTTCGGGGAGGTAAAATCGGGCCCAGAACCCGTTTATACGGGTTCAAATGGGCTATTTTTGGCCGAGCCTAATAGCTCGGGAATGCCCACGTTAAAAGGCCTTGTGCCACATGACACCCTCGTGGGGGTGACTGAATATTGTCAGTCGTTCACCTCTGAACTGACTGTTCGGTTCAACTCTCTTCCTACGGGCGAGGGAACCCGAAGGAGGCTACGCCGAAGGGCGGAGTCTCCTTCGGGGAGGTTAAACTCAGCCCTGGACCCGTTTATGCGGGTTCAAATGGGCTATTTTTGGCCGAGCCTAATGGCTCCGGGAATGCCCACGTTAAAAAGGCCTTGTGCCACATGACACCCTCGTGGGGGGTGACTGAATATTGTCAGTCGTTCACCTCTGAACTGACTGCACGGTTCAACTCTCTTCCTACGGGCGGGAGGAACCCGAAGGAGGCTACGCCGAAGGGCGGAGCCTCCTTCGGGGAGGTAAAATCGGCCCAGAACCCGTTATGCGGGTTCAAATGGGCTATTTTGGCCGAGCCTAATGGCTCGGGAATTCCCACGTTAAAAGGCCTTGTGCCACATGACACCCTCGTGGGGGTGACTGAATATTGTCAGTCGTTCACCTCTGAACCGACTGTTCGGTTAAACTCTCTTCCTACGGGCGGGAGGAACCCGAAGGGAGGTAAAACCGGCCCTGAACCCGTTTATACGGGTTCAAATGGGCTATTTTTTGGCCGAGCCTAATGACTCGGGAATGCCCACATTAAAAAGGCCTTGTGCCACATGACACCCTCGTGGAGGGGTGACTGAATATCGTCAGTCGTTCACTTTTGAACAGACTGCACGGTTTAACTCACTTCCTACGGGCGGGAGGAACCCGAAGGAGGCTC